AAATAAAATAAAATTAAAATAAAATAAAATAAAATAAAATAAAATAAAATAAAATAAAATAAAAGGGCATTAATAACAAAAGTAATAAAAAATAAAATTAAAATAAGTTAATAGCCAAAATAATTAAAGCCCGTACACTACATCAGATTTTAATCAGATTGGTTAGGGTCGAGCCTGTGGGCGAATACGAGCGTTTTATGTGGTATATATTATTTCACATATACTTATCAAATGACATTTTTTTTTGTAAATGCGTTCTCATCACTAAATGAACTGTGTGATTGTGGTTTACCCAGTACATTGTTTCATTATGTCACTAGTAATGAGAATGTGTGTACTGTGAATATAACAAATGTCCACCGAGATCTCGAGAGTCACGAGACTTGGTTTCTGTCTCCTCAAGTAGTGTTCAAGTTTGTTTCCAGCAATAGCGTTCACTGCTACGAATACCGTTTGTACATAGGTCAGGAAGCAGTGGACGCGATGCCGTGATAAAATGGAACTCCACTTGGGACAAAAACCCAATCTCAATCTAAATGTAAGTGTTCTATAACGTAGCAATGAATATAATACAATATTTTTATTGATCAGTATGTATCGAGGCAATTGTACTTTTGACTAAATTTCGGGTTTATTTTATTTAGAATAAAATTTTACCAAAAAGGTCATGATTAATATAAATATGTATGAATGAATAAACTTTATGGTAGAGTTTATTTTGTAAAATTTATACTATTTTTGTTGTTAGTTCATACTTTCATTTTTTTTAAATATCTATAGCTATGTTTTTTTAAATCGCATTTAATGTCATGGTAACCTCAAATCGATGTTATCAACGAATTTGTTTGCATTGTACTATGTTTATTTTTTGACTTACAACAAATAATTTTAATCGCATGACACAAGGTTAATTATTAACACGCGCACTGATATAAGTGTATACACAATGTAAACAGTAAATTATATTACAGAGGGGTAATGTTTAGTTCATGTCTGAGTACATTACCTTTTCAGAGTTGTGTTTCTTATTCATTGAAGTTTTGTTTTAATTGAGTTTCATTTATTATTACAGAATTTTTAATGTGTACTTACTAATTAACGAATTGTGTAGGCATCTATTATTACACATGGTCCGGGGCTATAATGAAAATGACAACTTACAACTGCATTCAGATTGATTGACAGTAAATACTACGTTCACATATTTCACTATTTACAGCGCTTTTGATTGTAAATTTTATATATACATATGTATATATATATATATATATATATATATATGCACACAAGTGCATTTCAGTAATATTCGAATAATGTTAAATATTCAAAGGTCAAAGCTAATTTGCATATTTAAATAAAATGCAACTATTTTAATTTTCTCCTATGGGCTGTAAATCGGTCTCTCATTTCAGACATTGGTCAAACAACAAGCAAAACTTCAAATCAGTATACGAATACGATATTTGTGATTCAGCCACACACTCATCTTCTCCGGCCAAGGTTGGTTTACTTGTAATTGGCCCTCGCCTTGTCAGTTTGTAAGAAAGGGGTATGTTTACGAAACCATACGATCCGGACGATGCCACGCACTCGACATCATCCAATACTGTCCTTGTCATGATTGGAATGCGCCTAGTAAATATAAATGCAAAAACTTCACCCTAGACTGGGTGTAATTCTATTAAGTGATACAGCTGCTATCAGTATATCGTAAACACACCGTACTGACGTCAATGCGAGTTACACCCATACATAGATTGCACACCGATTGCAAAGTAATTAGGGGAGTTCACAGTGGTTGTTTAGGAGGCATATTTTACTGGGTTAAACTGAAATTTCAAGATGAATATAATGTTTATTATATATACACTAATTGTTCTCCAATAATCTGCAATACTAGATTGGGCAAATATTGACAGAGAGACAATCGCATGTACTGGTGAGCACACAACAACGTCCTCAACGTCGGTATCTCACGAAAACTATTCAATAACGATTATTGATTGCATCGATGTAATGAATTAAGAAGCGTTACAAACTGGAATCAGTCTGATAATCCCAATTTTCATTGTCAACAGCTTACGTTTCGGCCTGGTTATAGAGCGGTGGTCGTCGCGCTGCGCATGTGCGACATTTGTGTTGATAAACATTGATTTTCCCACAATACAATGCGCTATTCTAATGGAAATCACAAGTATGAGGTTTGGCCTGGGCACGACCTTACAATCATCTAAGAAATACCTAATTAAAGATTGGTAACGTCTCAGTTTGTACTCGTCCCCATCTTTGTTTATATGACGTATAAAGGCGTAGAGGTGTGCAGTTGCGCCATAAGTTAATGGTTATAGGGGTATATCTATCTATTTTTAACAATAAAATAATCTTGATATATTTTATGAATATATACAAAACACGGGATATTACACTATGAACTTTAATACCTGAAACACTTTTGTTCTATATTCATATATAAGCAACATTAATGTACAGGACTGATTAATACAATTGATAGTTGTACAATACAGTTTATGTTAAAACTTAACAACTTTGGCGATAGCATATTAATTTATCTCCAGTTAGCTTTCCTCGAATAAATCACTTATAGGGAAGGAATGATGTCTGTGCCTCGGTGTACTAGTAACATTGCAAGAGCACTGAGTCTGTCTTGAGCCATGCTAGATCGTGTCCATAACTTCACCCGCCGAAGTGCAGAAAAAGAACGTTCACATGACACGCTTCCGACAGGTGTTGTAAAGAATATTATGAGAATTCTGTGGATGGCTGGGAAATAGTTGACATCACAAACAGCAAGAGATGAAGCAGCATCATTGGGCCTTTGCTCAATGTGTGTATCACTGAACTTTGTTATCCACATTGCAGACCCTGTGGAATCTCGACCACCAAGAAGATCATAATGAAGTGATCGAGCTTGAATAGTGGCTTGATAGCAACCAAACAAAAAGGTCCTTTCAGGGCCACCACATATTCCGAAAAGAAAAACCGTAATTTAAATGATTTATATCATCAGATTGTGGCGAGTGTGGTCGATTGTTCGTTTATTTGAATTTACTGCCACACATACTGTCAGGGCGACATCATACATCAATCATACTGGTATTCCTTACCTCGATTCCTTACTGCTTTTACTATAAAAAATCAACATTGACAGTTGCAACGTTTCTTCGGAGCTGACATGGCTGACGTGTCAATCAGAAATACTTGAAGGTAACGTTTGACCCGCTGTGCTGGGTGCATGCGTCCTACCTGTACGCGTCAAATCGCTCAACAATAAATATAAACAAAGTACACGAAACTGGCTTACCATGTTTTATTTCATTATTTCAAATCGTGAACAAACTAAATACGTGGTTGCTCGAAACTTTTCTATTTTAAGTTTTAAAAAAAAGATCCCTTACTCAGGGGGCTGCCCCCCTTGACCCCCCCCCCCCAGCTACCGCCTTTTAATTATTCGGGTATTTGTTACGCCAAGAATATATGTCGGTCATAATCTGCGTCCCATACTCATGATCACGTATTATTTGGTGATGGGTATTCTTTGTGTTACGCGGTCACTGTGAACGTGAATAAAAGAAATTATGATCGGAGACAGCTCGCATGTAAAATGTGCACACGTGTGGCGCGCTGACACAAGAAAACATGAACCAATTCCGTCCATTGTCTTTCTTTTAAGTGGGCAGTTCTCAGTATAATGACCCACATGCTGCTACTATTTTAATCAAATATAGAATTAAATAAATCACTGTTCAAAACGGTAACTGACACTAGTGACTCTCTTGGTCTCTATGTGTGTAGTCCTTTTACACGTGACACATGGTTACTTTGGTGATGGGCTGCTTTACGTGTCAACTATGGCATTTCTACAAACCATACACACGAGATCTGATAATAATTAGACACCAGCTGCTGGGACAGATACATACGATGCAGATGATATTTGGTAATTAATTGTATATTTCATCTGCTAATGAGGAATGGTTATTTTACGAAATATCTAGCTAACTTGAAAACAACAACGAATATCACAATACTAGTAGATATGATATTGGTTCATACGTGTTGTGGATAAGATCACTTATGTGTATGTAGATGTTAATTCTCAATCACAGGTAATTGCTATATTAGAACTTGCTGAATTTGGCGAATGGATTGTTGCCCACAGGCCTTATTAAAGCGGGCAGTCGTCACCTGCGCACGCGCCAGACGGCGATAGCGTCTTTGCGTTTTAGCGGACGTTGATATCGTCGCTTAGGAGTTCCACATACACAGGTTTCGTCCCCTGTGTGCTATGTACAAGGTATAGTCCAGCGGATAAGTTGAAGAAATGTTCAAATTATGACAAAAGCATGAAACTTGGTACATATGTGGGGTTTAGTGTGCTCAGGAGATGGACCCACTACGAATATCTGCTATAATATTTGGGTGAAAAAAAATATTTTGGATCAAAAATTGAAAAACAAGCAATTAACCATTGAAAAATATATGCATGAAATATAGCGTATATGTCAATCAGGATAATACAGAGACGTAAGGATTTAAGATAAATTACATATTTTAGCTAAAAATAGCCAAACATATTTTTGGCCAAAGATTTAACAAATATGTTAAAACTACTCCATGCAGCACGTGGTGTCAGAAATGGTTACTACAAAATTATGATCAGAACTGTCAATCTTTCATGGCTTCACTGGATGTGACACAGTCTCTGCCTTTTCCGGAAGAAAAAAAAACGATTCGTTGTTTCGATGCATATAGTGGCACATCGCACAGTCAATGAAGCTCGCCGAGCAGGGTACAAGATCTATTGAGAATATTCCACCAAGTCAAGCTTGGGACACTTGATCATGTAC